GGCCATTTTGCCAATATTAATTCTTCCTATCTGTAAACATGGGATAGATTTTCATTTATTTGTCTTTTTTAATTTCTCTCATGAGTGTCTTATAGTTTTCAGAGTACAGTTCTTTCACCTCCGTAGTTAAGTTTACACCCAGGTATTTTATTCTTTTTGATGCAATTGTGAATGGAATAGTTTTCCTGATTTCTCTTTCTGCTAGTTCATTCTTAGTATATAGGAACATAACAGATTTTTGTGTATTAATTTTATATCCTGCAACCTTGCTGAATTCACTTATTAGTTCTAATTTTTTGGTGGCATCTTTAGGGTTTTCTATATATAATATCATGACATCTGCCAAGAGTGACAGTTTAACTTCCTCCTTGCTAATTTAGAGCCTTTCATTTCTTTAACTTGTCTAATTGCCATTGCTATGACCTCCAGTACTATGTTGAATAAAAGTGGTCAGAGTGGACATCCTTGTCTTGTTTCTGATCTTAGAGGAAAAACTATTAGCTTTTCACCACTGAATATGATGTTAGCTGTAGGTTTGTCATATGGTTTTGAGGTATATAGCCTCTATACCAATTTTGTTGAGAGTTTTTATCATGAATGGGTGTTGAATTTTGTTAAATGCCTTTTCAGCATCTATTGAGATGATCACTTGGTTTTTATCCTTTTTGTTAATGTGGTGTATCACATTAATTGATCTATGAATATTGTACCATCCTTGCATCCCTGGAATAAATCCCACTTGGTTGTGATGGATGATCCTTTTCATGTAGTTGTGAATATAGTTTGCTAATATTTTCTTGAGGATTTTTGCATCTGTGTTCATCAGGGATGTCAGTCTATAATTTTTTTTTTTTTTTGGTAGTGTCTGGTTTGGGTATTGGAGTGGTGCTGGCCTCATAAAATGAGTTTGAAAGTATTCCCTCAGCTTCTACTTTTTGGAATACTTTAAGAAAAATCGGTATTAGCTCTTTTTTAAATGTTTGATAGAATTCAGCTGTGAAGCTATCTGATACAAGACTTATATTTGTTGGGAGTTTGTGATTACCAATTCAATTTCATTGCTGGTAATTGGTCTGTTTAGATTTTCTGTTTCTTCCTGGGTCATTCTTGGAAGACTATATTTTTCTAGGAATTTTTCCATTTCTTCTAGGTTATCCAATTTATTTGGCATATAATTTTTCATAGAATTCTCTAATAATTCTTTGCATTTATGTGGTGAACTTTGTGATTATTCTTTTTTCATTTCTGATTTTGTGTAGCCTGTCTTTTTTTCTTGTTAAGTCTGGCTAGGGGTTTATCTATTTTGCTTATTTCTCAAAGAATCAGCTCCTGGTTTCATTGATTTTTTCTATTGTTTTATTCTTCTTTATTTCTGCTCTGACCTTTATTATGTCCCTCCTACTAACTTTGGGTTTCATTTGTTCTTCTTTTTCTAGTTTCTTTGCGAATTTAAGACTGTTTATTTGGGATTGTTCTTGTTTATTGAGGTAGGCCTATTTTGCTATGTACTTCATGCTGAGAACTGCTTTTGAGGCATCCCACAAATTTTGGAATGTTGTATTTATTTCTGCATTGTTTGATTTCTGTTCCTTTTGTTAGGTGCTCTCTGCACTTCCAAGACCTGGGTGTCTATTTCCTTTCCCAGATTGGGAAAGTTTTCAGCAATTATTTCTTTGAAGAGACTTTCTACCCTTTGTCTCTATCTTCTCCTTCTCATACCCCTATTATGTGAATGTTGTTTCATTTGGAATTCTAACACAGCTTTCTTAGCATCCTTTTGTTTCTAGAAATTCTTTTTCTGTTCTTCATCTTTACTGTTTTCCTGTTCTCTAATTTCCATCTCACAGATTGTCTCCTCTTCTTGAAGCAATCTATTATTCATTCTGTCCATTGCATAATTCATTGTAGTTACTGTAGTCTTCAGCTCTGAATGGCTTTTTTCAACTCCACTATTTCTTTGTTGAAGTCCTAAGTGAGATTAATACTTTTCTGCAGATCAGGGAGCATATTTATGATTCATCCTTCAAAACATTTATCAAAAAGATTGGTGATCTTGTTTAATTTAGACCTCTTTCTGGTGTCTTATCTTGCAGTTTTGTTTGGAACATATTCCTCTGCCTCTTCATTTTGTCAGGGTTTCTGTGTTTCTTCCTTTGTATTACACATGGATCTGCTATGCTTCCTGATCTAGAGAGTAATGGCTTTATGAAGAAAGCATCCTGTGGTGACCAGAAGCTCATGACTCTTTGCTGTCTAGTGCCTAGTTCTTCTTTGCAGTGGAGCCCCATTGTTGTTGGTGGACTATGAGTGGGGCCATCTTTCTGTTTGCCAGCAGTCATCTATCCCAGTCTGCCATGGATGGCAATTCACCTCAGCTGGCCCTTTTTAAGCCAAGCAGAGGAGCTTCTCCTGGGATCATTGTGCACAGGGCCACTCTCTGCATGCTCTGCAGCAATGGCAGTGCTGCTGGACTAATGGGGTGGGCAGGGTGGTCACAGGGCAGCTGGGTGGGCACATGATTGTGCAATGGCAGTGATGGGGCACATGGCACTGGGCTGAGCCACCTATGAGGAGGAAGAAGTACCCACAGTTGGCTCCTACAGGTGCCTCCCAGTTGGGCTGCAATAGGGCCAAGAAAGCTGGGAAATCCTCCTTCTGCCCTCCAAGCAGCAAAGTCTGACATTGCTGAGCCAAGAGGCTTGGCAGGCAGTTGAGTGCATGGGGCAGTGCCTCAGGGCTGAGCTGCCAGAAAACAGCATGGAGCATTTGGGGCTCTGGTGAGTGCCTGACCTATTGGACCAAAGAAAGCTGGGGAAATGTCAGCCACTTTCTCTTTCTCCTGCAGTAAGAGTTCCATCCAACCCTCGCCTCCTGGCACCCTTCTTACTGTTGGTCAATCTTTCAAACTGCTGCCTCTGTTTTGGGTCTCAGCCTCCCAGAGTGCTCAAATGTCCCTGGTGTCCAGCTCTGCTAATCACCAAAGCCCAGTACAATGTGGACTTAGGTTCCCAGAGCAGATCTCCAGGGCCAGGTGTACAGAATCCCTGAGTACCTATCCCCTCCCAGCTCCATTCCTCATTCTCCTACCTGTGGGCTGGGAGGGGGGGGAAGCCTCATGGATCTGCCACTTTACCCTTCTCTGTGTGGTCTGCTCTTCTTCACCAGGTGTAGGTGGTCTGTCCTGTGGTCTTTGGGTCATTTTCAGGGTTAGTTGTATTTGCTGTAGTTGCTTCCTTGGCATATATGTGGGAGGTTTCTGCATTCCTTCCTACTCTGCCATCTTCCCCACTCCCAAGATTTTTTTTAATATAAGGTAATACACATAACAGATTTAACATAAATGGTGGTAATAAAATAACTGAATCATGCTACATAATCTTTAAAAAGTTGAAATAGATGGAGTGTCTGCTCCTGCAGAAATGAGCCTATGAAGTCTAGAGTGAGCCCCCTTTTTACCAGCTGCATTCTTTTCCAGAAACTGAATGATTAATATAAGAGAATTCCAAAGAAGGCAGATCCTTAAGTAATTATCTACAACATGACCAAAGCATAGCTTTAGATCCAGCCAGGATCTTACTGGCATGTCCAGCAAGGTATCAGGAATAGCTCAAGTGAGATGAAGGATCTACTCCACCAGATACACTAGGTGATGTGACTGAAAAAGTCAGATGCTTTCAGGATGTACACCAAACAAAGAGAAAAGAAAACAGAAATGAAAAAATGAGGAATAAGAGAGAAAAGGACATTCTCTATATGCATCCCAGCCAAGTTAAAGCATTTTATAGGCTATTTACCAGTTATGACATTGACTCTACAAATCTTAAATGCATCTCCTAACAGAAAATAAACATTTTTTATTTTAAAAAAATCTTTACAATCAGTCCATTACTTCTCCAATCATTAAAAATATGACAGGGAGAAGACTGTTATTCAAAATGATGACCAGGCTGATTATCAAATTTCAGAAGCAGTAAGTCACTTAAATGAGGTAATAAATATGAGTTGCTTAGAACAGTTCAAGGCACACAAAAACACCCAGTAATGGCCAGTTACTGCTTCTGCTACCATCCTCGTCATCATCATTGCCACACCATCTTCTTCATCATCATGTCCTTAAAGGGCTCCATCTGTCTGTTATCATTTGAAAATTTCTGTTCTGGTCTCAAAAAAAATAGGAATGACCAAAAGGAGATGTTTTCTTAGTGATACTTTTATTTACAATAAAACAAATGGTCTGTGTTGATTTACATATTAAAAGGTTTCAGAGTTTTAGCATTAATATCAAAGTAAAGCAATTTTCCTCTTTTTCATGCGGTTTGTTAAAGCCAAACATTTATGCTGTTTCAGACACTCGTATTGCACATAACCCCAGGGCTATTTCACAGTGTGACTCATGAGCAGTCCATTACTCAAGACCAACAGATCTCAACAATCCTGCCCACGCACTCGTCAGCCTCCCAAACTACTCCAGCAACAGTTTTACCTTCTGACAAAAGAGAAGCTAGGTTTCAAATCTGGATATCAATAAGAAAAATGATAATGCTTATAGTACTTTCTCTGTCATTCTTTGTTTCAAAGTTAACATTTCTCAGCAATTCTCCATAAGGAGACACAGCAGAGATGCTCAGGCACTTTCTGCAACTGACTACCTAGGAGTCTGTTACTATATTAAGTCTTCTTGTCATTCCACACAGACCTAGTGACAACCTGATGCCTTTCTAAAGCAGGTGGTCCTCACACTGCTGCTCTCTTTGGTTCTGCACATTGGAGGTGTTTGAAAATAATCTGAAACAGAACACTCCATCCCCAGTTCTGAGGCTTGCACATCTGGGGACTCAAAGGAGCAGGATGGCCAACCTACAGACAAAGCAAAGGATTTAGGCAGGCTCCTTACATACAGACCTCTCATAAACTATTGAATAGATATCAAAAAGCATGTGCAAACATTTCCAAAGATGGATCAAGCAGTCCCTCAGGAAATTTGGAACAGTTAAAAATACCTTTTTTCTCTTGGTGCCTCCGGTAAGCTGTAAGCTCTTTGCTCTACAAGACACAGAACAATAAAATGAAAACTAAGGCAGTCAAACTAGCAGTCATGTGTTAGTCTGAAATGCACACACTCAACCTTATTTTATCATTATACATACCACCAATTAGAAAATAATGAGAAAGAAATTCATTTTATATAAGTAGGGTGTTGCTCTGGTATCACTTGTCCCTAGTTTAGAGAGAATGGGGAGAGGCCAACACATGGCAACAATTAATAACTTGAACTGAATTAGCATCAACAAGGAGAAGCAAACATTTTCAGAAGTGCATAAAATTCGTTCTCTCTTTTTGGATATTTCTCACCAGAGCTTCATCCCTTATTCATAATCTAACTCCCCAATATCTAGAACCAATAAATATCTCAGCTGCTTTTTAATGAAGCTGAAAAGAAACATCTTGAAGGCCAGCATAAGGAAGAGCCCTTTTTAACATAACTTCAATGCCTTTATAAAATCCCAGCAGCAGCCAGTTCAGATGTGCCTTGTGGCTCATAGGAAAGGGAGACCAACTTTCCCATTGGACTTGGGGGCAGGCGAGGTGAGACAGAAGGGGCAAGCTCATGCAAGCAGCTTAGCACCACCTTGCTTCCAGAGCTGGAGTACTTACTACAGGGATGGAGCAGAGACACTGATTTAGACAGTGAGAGAGACTGAAGGAGGGGGCAGCCACTGCGGAGCACACCATCTACAGAGCAGGGACAAATCCTTTACCATTACAATCCAGAAGCGTGAGGAGGCAAAACTAGTGTGCAGAAGGAGGTGAGCCAGCTAAGTAAGGAGGAAAACTGATAGATGCACATTCCCTTAAATGTTAAACATCAATGCTGAACCTAATACTACCTTTTAGGTAGCAGGAAATGTACTTTGAAGAATTTGAAGGCTTTATTTTATTGCCACTATTAAATGTTCCTCAAATTAAGTAGTGGGCAGAAATCATTATCCTTATTGTAAATGGGCCAAGGTGGAAGAGAATCAGCCATATGTCCAAAATAATCAAGCTAATTATGTAACAAGACTCAGGCACTGGACAAAGCCTAATAGGATCCCATCCATCAGTGCACAATTTTCGAAAGTACATTCACTTAACTCCTCAAATTCTTAAATGTGGAACACTTTTGTCCATCTTGGTGGAGTTATAATTATTTCAATAATGACAATGTTCCTTTCCACCTAAACACACAATGTACCAAAGCAAATTACAGGTTTGGATTTGTTTTATGTATACAAGCATTAAATTATAAAGTTGCCACCATTGTACGCTTGACTCAAAAAATGCACGAGAAATGACAGTAGCCCTTTGGAAGTGACAAGGAAGAGAAAATATTACAAGTAAGAATAAAGAGGCTGAAAGACAATTCTATCTTTATGAGCTCTATTATAGCTGTTATACAGAAGCTTCCCACTGGAGCAAAAGGGGACTTTTTCTTTATTCAAATGGAGGAAAATTGTTAGATTATTCAAAACTCATCCAAAGAGGATTTATGGTAACGCAAATGTTAATTAATCAGACCTCTGATTAATCTAAGCAAACTAAACAATGAAACAGTGGAATATATCTTTGAACTAGTCAACCTTTCACACCTGTGCTCTCCACACACAGTCAACATTATTCCTTCTTCCATGAGAGTTAATTTACTCTTCACAAACCCTGATTTTGGCTGACCTAAATGGTATCAGTCCAAAAGCTTGCAACCATAGAACATCTACTAGACTCACTGTACACAGTGTGTAGCCTCAGCCTAAATTGTCTAACTGGAGAGTATCAAACTTCATTGAAATAGCCCTCTTTAAAATATACCATCTAAAGATAAAACTTCTATGCATGATAAGACCTGTAAGGGTTCAGAACATCTTTACACTAATGAGTTCCACAAAAATTGTTGGTAAATCAGTATTTAGAAAATGAAATTGCATTTAAAAGGGTATTATATATGAAACACTAGGAGTAAAAGGCCAAAATACACTGAAATTTTATATTGGGCAATATTCACTATCCCCAGGTATTTACTAGAATGATAATGGTAATAATTTTAAAAAAAGGAATTAATATCAGCTTTTTATTCTAAGCCTAATGCAAAGATGAAAGGATTGTAAGCAAGCCTTTGTTATTCATTAAAGAAGTCTTAAATTAGGGCTCTTTTTCCTTATAAAAATAAATTTTCTCTCAGTCATCTGGTCAACAGTTTCAAACTTCAGAACTACCTGACTTTAAAAATCAGAGACACTAGAGAAATAAGGACAAGGCTGCACAGGAGACTCAACAGTGTTTTCCAAATAGTTACAGTATAAAGTTAGTTGGCCACCCAGGCCTATCCATGAAAAAGTGGCAAGCTGGCATTACAAAGAACTCCAGCCTGAACTAAGGTTAGGGAGATCTGGAGGGTAGCTGTACCCTTTCTTTCTCTTAGTCCTTTTCTCCATCTCCCCATTTCAGTAATTACAGCTGACATTTATTATCCATCTTGCTTTCTCCTCTTCCCATAAGACTTCCAAGAAAGGAAAAAACCCACCTAGTAGCACTTGTTTTATACTTTATGCACCTTTTCTTATATACCTATGTAACAAATATTTATTAAATATCTCCCAAACATGTTTTAAGTATAATGATTATGCTTTTGACATTGTTCCACATGGCATAAAGATGAAAAATAATAAAGCAAAGGAATAAAGAATAAGGAAAAAAGAAGAGAAAGGAGGGAAAGAAAAAACCCTATTTTCCATATTTTATAATGGGAAACTGAGGAGGCTTAAGCACATCTCTTGCTTTTTGAGTCTTTTAAGATGCTTACAGATAATAGAAAAAACAGCATTACCTAATACGTTGACAAAAACTTTATTATAATGCTATATATTACAAATCGGCATGAATATTTCAAGTATGCCTTTAAATGTAATTGTTAAATAATATGTACAGAAAGTATGAAATAATTTTTAAATAATATGTACAGAAAGTATGAAATAATTACATTTCAAAATAAAGTTGAAAATGGGGGTGGTGGCTGAGAGGGGCTACAAGGGCAGCTATTTATTGGTTTGAATTCACTTTTGAAAATTCATCCAGATCCAGTTGTATGCTGACAACTTGTGCCCACTTCTGCATGTATACTATATTTCAGTTAAAATGTTACTGTGTAAAAGTTATATTTCTGATTACTTATATTGCCACTAAGAATGCTGAGATATATTTACTCATATTTCAAATATGTTGTTATTTCAACTCTCTAAATCCCTTGCTAAATAAAGAAAGAAAGAAAATCTATTTTGTAGTGCTTTACCTCTGAGGAGTTAGATTATTTCAGCAATTTATTTTTAGGACAAAAGTAATTTTTTAAATTTACTTAAATAAAATCCTCTATAGAGCTCTCACTGTAATGAACCAGAATAAGTTCTAATTTACACTATCCTTGAAAACATTTTATTCAAAGAATAAAGCAATAAGAGGTGTGAACATATTTGTAATTTCATCTAAATCAAATCTGTAACTTGACTGCTATCAATAAGAAAAGGATTTTGCTAAGCTCATAAGAATCAATTGTGAAAATGGAACAAAAAATTCTTGCCTGCTACTCTTGCATATTTATGTACTTTTACTAACTAAAAATGTGCTGTGGAATAGAATGCTTTCAAAGCCAAGTGGTAAATAATGCTTACCTTCACTTGAACTGCACACTGTAAAATCACGCACCAACCGAGTTTTTCCTAAAGAAATTTTGGGTGATGAGCAGGAATAAGAACGTGAGCGGACTCCAGAAAGCAATGATTCCTGAAAGAGACCGTTAATAGTTTTTTAAAAATTCCACAGAGGACTTGAAAGTATGTGTTCACCAGGAATGTTATTAAATCTGTCTCTTTCTAAAAGATGCAACCTGAAAACTTCTGATGTACTATTTTTTGTTTGTTTGCACTTTACAGCTCTTAAAATTTTTGCCTTGTTAATGCTATAGTAAACTTGAGCTTTGGGAGACAGTACCTGTATACTTTATGTATACTTTAAGATGCAGTTATGATATTGCAATCAAGTTGGTTAAAAGTGAAAAACTAAGTCAAATGACTTTTTCTCTGTGTGTTCAATGAGTTTGACTTATTTTCCACCTGAGTTATGTTTACTTTACACTGTAGTGTTCAAGCAAAATTCTATATTAATTGCTATCTATATTTAATGATTATTAAAAGGTAGAGAAATAGCCACTCACAATTATAAGAGTTTCTAAAACTCTCAAACAGCTTTTAAGTTAATAGTGTTAGCTGCAAACTCTAGGGAAAAATGCATCAGGTCTATTTACAAATCCCCCTAGACTTTGCTCATCTTTCAAAAGATGTTCAATCCAGCACTTCCTAGGATGATGTTTGAATATCACTGATTTTTTTTAACTTTCATTTTATTCCTTTTAAGTAACCTGCCATTTTTGATCCTGTTCTCCCAACTACATACCATTTCTATTATTATATTAGCTTATATGTGAAAATCCAAGATGATTAAAAGATGGTCTTCCTATATGTTTTAGAAAATGTAAATGAATATGCAATAAAACCCCTTTAAAGCCATTTATGGTAACCAACTCCTATCCAATAGGCCTTAAGATGGATCTAAACCATTTTTATGATACCACTTGAAGTAATATAAAATTTGTTACTAAAATTAAGCCATCAACAACTATGCTCCATAAACACTGGTCTCTTCTGTCCTACCTAAGTGAAAACACATGGTTTCCCTAAGTTCACTGGTTTAGTTAAAGCCCTGGAGGAAAGTTGGAAACAGAAAACTGACTCTGCTTCAAAGGGCTATGGGCTCTGCCTCCCTGACCATCTTATTAGAGAGGACCCACTAGGCCTCAGTGTCAAGAAGGCCAGCATGAGCTGTCCTCTACCCCTACGAGTGAGCTGGCCACAAGGGCCTTAGCCAAACGCCATCCTCTGCACTGAGGTTGCATATGGTAATTCTTTTTCCTAACAATGGGGCTTTGAAAATTATTCAGAACGTTGGCCAAAAGTTTACAGAGTAATTACAGAGGCAAGGCAGGATACATTTTATAGGACAGATTCTTCATAAAAGTTAACAACATGGAATTATTTCACAAAGACTGAATTACTTTTCATTCCAAGTAATGATGGGTTTTACACAATTCCATTCAAAAATGCAAAACTAACAGGTATCTATATAACAATCATACCCATTTCTAATTATCCAGAAATAGCACATGACTTTACTGTTCAAAAGATGAGGAGGGGAAAAAAGATGGTTGTGTGAGAAATGAGGCAAAAATCTCCTCCCAAAACCACATATAATATGAAAATATAGCAAATACAGCTATTCCTAAAAGAGTGACCAGAAATAAGATTTACCAGCCAGTCTGCATCTGGGAAAAGAGAACATCTCCTGGAAAAGGGTAAAATAATAAAGCCACGACCTGGTGGGACCCAAGCACTCTCCCCACCCCAGCTCACTGGCAGGAAGAAGACAATCAGAGCAGAAAGGGAGTAGAAGCCCAGGACTGCTAAATACCTAGCCCTAGAAATCTACTCCAGGAGCATAAAGCCACATTGCATGGTGCTCTGGAGATTAGAAGGGTGAAATACAAGAAATCCAAGGTCAGAGACTGAGACTCCAGCCGTGTGTGGCCAGCATGTTCCCACAACTAGCTGCTGTGGGACAAAAGAAAGGTGGATGCTTTGAAAGATGTCACAACAATGAGAGGGCTGCTCAAGGGGCAAGGATTCAGGAAAAGCAACAGGTGGACAAAATCAACCCAGGACACTCAGCCCAGCAGGTTGGGAACTTCCAGGGCTTCCGGTGCTCCATCCCCTTGGCTGGCAAAGCAGCCCGGAGTCCCCCCACTGTGATAAGCAGCCTGCCACTCCTTCCACCCCTCTGATAACTGCGCACAAACCTGCAACCCCATCATCATGCCAGGCCAGCCAGAGGGCTGGCCCGTGTACAGCAACTACAGCAGCATGACACAGAGGGTGCTCCTTGCACACGCAGCTAACTGGCCCTGACAGAAGAGGCAGGCACTGCACCCGGGAAGCAGGAAAGAGCTCAATCTTTAGGGTAGGCACCAGCACCAGTCACCTGTGATGCTCCAAATACTGGGCACCTCCAAAAAGAAGAGCTTCTGGGAACTAGAGGACACTGCATACACAAACCTAATATTTCTCACTATCCAACAGGATTATAAAAAGGCAGAAAACACTTGTTCAATCCAAAACCTTTCAAACACCAGAAAGAGGGCTCAGTGAAACTGAAATCACCAATCTTCCTGAAAAAGAATTCAAAATAAAAGTCATAAGCATGCTAATGGAGTTACAGAAAAATATTCAAGAGCTAAGGGACAAATTTAGGAGGGATAATAGACACCTTAAAAATATAGCAGCTGAAAAGAAAACTACAATGGAAGCATTTAAAAGCAGATTAGATGAGGTAGAGGAGATTGTAAATGGAATAGAAATTAGAGAACAGGAAGAGAAAGAAGCTGAGGCAGAAAGAGAAAAAAGGATCTCTAGGAATGAAAGAATATTAAGAGAACTGTGTGACCAATCCAAAAGGAACAATTTTCACATTATAGGGGTACCAGAGGAAGAAGAGCGAGAAAAGGGATAGAAAGTGCCTTTAAAGAACTAACTGCTGAAAACTTCCCCAATCTGGGGAAGGAGATAGTCTCTCAGGGCATGGATGTGCACAGACCTCCCAGCACAAGGGACCCAAGGAGGATACCACCAAGACAAATAATAATTAAAATGGCAAAAATCAAGGACAAGGATAGAGCATTAAAAGCATTCAGAGAGAGAAAAAAGATCACATACAAAGGAAAGCCCATCAGGCTATCATTAGACTTCTCAGCAGAAACCTTACAGGCCAGAGGGAATAGCATGATATATTTAATTCAATGAAACAGAAGGGCCTCCAACCAAGAATACTCTATCTGGTAAGATTACCATTTAAATTTGAAGCAGGGATTAAACATATTCCAGATAAGCAGAAGTTGAAGCAACTTACCTCCCACAAACCATCTCTATAGTGTATTTTAAAGGCACTGCTCTAGGTGGAAGCCCTCCTAAGGCTAAATAGCTGTCACCAGAGAAAATAAAACTACAGTAAAGGAAGTAGAACAATTAATTACTAACCAAATGCAAAATTTAATCAGCTACCCACAAAGTCAGTCAAGGAATACAAAAAGAGTACAGAATAGGACACCTAACAATAAAGAATAGAGGAGTAAGAAAAAGAAGGGAAAAAAATAACCTTTGGATTATGTTTGAAATAGTGTAATAAATGAGTTAAGTTAGACTGTTAGATAGTAAAGAAGCTGCCCTTAAAACTCTGATAACCACAAATTGAAAGCCTTCAATGGCAGTAAATACATATCTATCAATAATCACCCTAAATGTAAATGGACTGAATGTATGAATCAAAAGACACAGAGTTACAGAATGGAAAAAAAAACAAGACCTTTCTATATGCTGCATACAAGAAACTCACTTAAACCCAAGGACACACACAGACTAAAAGTGAAGGGATGGAAAAGATATTTCATGCAAACAATAGGGAGAAAAAAGGCAGGAGCTGCAATACTTGTATCAGATAAAATAGACTTCAGAACAAAGAAGGTAACAAGAGATAAAGAAGGATATTACATAATGATAAAGGGGTCAATCCAACAAGAGGATATAACCATTATAAATATATATGCACCCAACAAAGGGGCACCCAAATACATATAACACACACTAACAGAATTACAGGAGAAAATAGAATGCAGTGCATTCATTTTAGGAGACTTCAACACACCACTCACTCCAAAGGACAGATCAACCAGACAGAAAATAAATACAGACCCAGAGGCACTGAACACATTATAACAGATGGACCAAACAGACATCTATAGAACACACCACCCAAAAGCAACAGGTTACACATTCTTCTCAAGTACACATGGAACATTTGCCAGAATAGATCATATACTAGGCCACAAAAAGAGCCTCAGCAAATTAAAAAAGACTGAAATTTTAATAACCAACTTCTCAGATCACAAAGGTGTAAAAATAGAAATAACTAGTACAAAGAAAACAAAAAGGCTCACAAATACATGGAGGCTTAACAGCATGCTCCTAAATAATCAATGGATCAATGACCAAATTAAAACAGAGATCAAGCAATACATGGAGACACATAAAAAGAACAGCACAAAGCCCCAACTTCTGTGGGTTGCAATGAAGGCAGTTCTAAGAGGAAAATATACAGCAATCCAGGCCTATTTAAAGAAAGAAGAATACTGAATGAATAGTCTAAACTCACAATTATTGAAACTGGAAAAAGAAGAACAAATGAGGCCCAAAGTCAGCAGAAGGAGGGACATAACAAAGATCAGAGAATAAATTAATAAAATTGAGAAGAATAAAACAATAGAAAAAATTAATGAAACCAAGAGCTGGTTCTTTGAAAAAATAAACAAAATAGATAAACCCCTAGCCAGACTTATTAACAAAAAAAGAGAATCTACACACATAAACAAAATCAGAAATGAGAAAGGAAAAATCACTATGGACACCACAGAAATACAAAGAATTATTAGAGAATACTATGAAAAACTATATGCTAACAAACTGAATAACCTAGAAGAAATGGACAACTTTCTAGAAAAATACAACCATCCAAGAGTGGCCAAGGATGAAACAGAAAATCTAAACAGACTAATTACCAGCAAAGAAATTGAATTGGTAATCAAAATACTACCCAAGAACAAAACTCCTGGACCAGATGGATTCACTGCCGAATTTTATCAGACATTTAGAGAAGACATAATACCCATTCTCCTTAAAGTTTTCTAAAAAACAGAAGAGGAGGGAATACCTCCAAACTCATCCTATGAAGCCAGCATCACTCTAATACCAAAACCAAAGAAACCAAAAAATAGAAAATTACAGAATATCCCTGATGAACATAGATGCAAAAATACTCAACAAAATACTAGCAAGCCAAATTCAAAAATGTATCAAGAGGCTAATACACCATGAACAAGTGGGATTCATCTCAGAGCTGCAAATATTGTACAACATTTGAAAATCCATCAACATCATCCACCACATCAACTAAAAGAAGGAAAAAAACTGCACAATCATCTCCATAGATGCCGAAAAAGCATTCAACAAAATTCAACATCCATTCATGATAAAAACTCAACAAAATGGGTATAGAGGGCAAGTACCTCAACATAATAAAGGCCATATATGACAAACCCACAGCCAACATTATACTTAACAGAGAGAAGCTGAAAATTTTCCTCTAAGATTGGGAACAAGACAAGGATGCCCACTCTCCCCGCTTGTATTCAACATAGTTCTGGAGGTCCTACCCACAGCAGTCAGACAACACAGAGAAATAAAAACCATCCAGATTGGTAAGGAGGAAGTCAAACTGTCACTGTTTGCAGATGACATGATATTGTACATAAAAAACCCTAAAGAATCCACTCCAAAACTACCAGATTTAGTATCTGAATTCAGCAAAGTTGCAGGATATAAAGTTAACACACAGAAATCTGTTGCATTCCTATATACTAACAATTAACTAACAGAGAGAGAAATCAGGAAAACAATTCCATTCACAATTGCATCAGAATGAATAAAATACCTAGAAATAAACCTAACCAAGGAAGTGAAACACCTATACCCCGAAAACTACAAGACACTTATGAGGGAAATTAAAGAAGATATCAATAAATGGAAACACACCCCATGCTCATGGATAGGAAGAATTAATATTGTCAAAATGGTCATCGTGCCTAATGCAATCTACAGATCCAATGCAATTCCTATCAAAATACCAACAGCATTCTTCAACGAACTAGAGAAATAGTTCTAAAATTCACATGGAACCACAAAAGACCCTGAATAGCTAAAGCAATCCTGAGAAGGAAGAGTAAAGCTAGAGGAATTATGCTCCCCAACTTAAAGCTCTACTACAAAGCCACAGTAATCAAGACAATTTGGTACTGGCACAAGAACAGACTCATAGACCAATGGAACAGACTAGACAGCCCTGATATAAACTTGACCATAAATGGTCAATTAACAATAAAGGAGCCATGCACATACAATGGGGAAATGACAGCCTCTTCAACACCTGGTGTTGGCAAAACGGGACAGCTACATGCAAGAGAATGAAACTGTATTACTGTCTAACTCCATATACAAAAGTAAACTCGAAATGAGTCAAAGACCTGAATGTAAGTCATGAAACCATAAAACTCTTAGAGGAAAACACAGGCAAAACTCTCTTGAGTATAAACATGAGCAACTTCTGCATGAACATATCTCCCCTGGCAAGGGAAACAAAAGCAAAAATGAATAAGTGGAACTATATCAAACTAAAAAGCTTCTGTACAGCAAAGGACACCATCAGTAGAACAAAAAGGCATCCTACAGTATGGGAGAATATATTCATAAATGGCATACCTGATAAGGGGTTGACATCCAAAACATACAAAGAGCTCAGGCACCTCAATAAACAAAAAGCAAATAATCCAATTAGAGAATGGGCAAAGGAACTGAACAGTTCTCCAAAGAAGAAATTCAGATGGTCAACAGGTACATGAAAAGATGCTCCACATCACTAATCACCAGAAAAATGCAAATTCAAACCACAGTGAGATATCACCTCACACCAGTTAGGATGGCCACCATCCAAAAGACAAATAACAACAAATGTTGGTGAGGATGTGGAGAAAGGGGAACCCTCCTATACTGCTGGTGGGAATGTAAATTAGTTCAACCATTGTGGAAAGCAGTATGGAGGTTCCTCAAAAAACTAAAAATAGAAATACCATTTGATCCAGGAATTCCACTCCTAGGAATTTACCCTAAGAATGCAGGAGCCCAGTTTCAAAAAGACATATGCACCCCTATGTTTATTGCAGCACTATTTACAATAGCCAAGAAATGGAAGCAACCTAAGTGTCCATCAGTAGATGAGTGGATAAAGAAGACGTGGTACATATACACAATGGAATATTATGCAGCCATACGAAGAAAACAAATCCTACCATTTGCAACAACGTGGATGGAGCTAGAGGGTATTAGGCTTAGTGAAATACAGCAGGCAGAGAAAGACAAGTACCAAATGATTTCACTCATATGTGGAGTATAAGAACAAAGCAAAAACTGAAGGAACAAAACAGCAGCAGACTCACAGAACCCAAGAATGGACTAACAGTTACCAAAGGGAAAGGGACTGGGGAGAATGGGAGGGAAGGAAGGATAAGAGATTAAGGGGTATTATGATTAGTACATATAATATAGGGGGGCACGGGGAAGGCACTATAGCACAGAGAAGACAAGTAGTGACTCTATAGCTTCTTACTACGCTGATGGACAGGGACTGTAATGGGGTATGTGGTGGGGACTGGATAATAGAAGAGAATGTAGTAACCACAATGTTGCTCATGTGGAACCTGAGCATAAGACTGTGTATCAATAATACCTCAATAATAATAATAATAATAAAAGAATATGACAGCTCTACAGGCCGTAGATCTGAGTGTAAAGGATTCAGGATCTGTGGCCAGAAGACCTGAATTTGAGTACTTAACCCATCATCAAACTTGGGCAAAGGGGACAAGATATCTAATCCCTCTTGAACTTCATCTGATCAAAAGCACTACTCACATCCTAGGTGAGTTATGAGAAAATTATGTATTTTGTACATACATAATGCCAGTTTTGTATATTGTAGAGCACACTATAAAAATAAAGCATTATCATTACAGCTACATGTTGACAGTAAGAGAAGTTTGGACATAGCACACATTGTTTTACAATGGTAAACACAATTTAAAAAGAAAACAAGCAGAAAAGAGAAATGACAAAGGTAGAAAACATATGTCTAAACACAAAAAGGGCTTTCTTGAAAGTTTGGGGGTATTTACAGTCTTTTAAAAAACAAGCACAAAAAAATGAAACTCCAATGTGAAAATGCCAATTGAGAGAAAAGCTGTCTTCTGTGAACATAACTGACAAGGTTTATGGTGCTCCAAATCAGTTCATGCAACCAGGAATGCTGAACAAATATCACCTTTGCCTCAGTATTATTCGCCTCATCACCGGGGCCAAGTAAAAATTTATGTGAGCAAAACAAGCCTGATCACTTAAACCCATTTAATACTGCCGAGTTTTCCCCCTTTAAGCAATGGTCCGAAATCATTGTACAAAATGGTAACATTTTCCAAGTATGTGAAAGATCGTATGCACTGGTATTAAATTAATGAAGCATAGGTCAGCAATTGTAAGTAAGGACCATACAAATTAAACAGAGTGGGAGAGATTAAAAAGATACACTTGATCAGACAGCTCATGAGTCTGCAAAAAAAAAATAGTCTTCATATGTGAATAAAACAATTTGCCTTTCTGATAGAAGCAGATCAGTTTTAGACAACGTACTTTCCATGCTTACCACAAACAAAAATTAATACCAATAAGAATACCTTTGACTGCATGTTACTGGATAAAGACAGTGACTCAGTCCTGGAGATGCTAAAATCTGCTTCAGTAGTAGCCTCAAAAGAGTCCAATTCATCCCCGCTGGGAATCCCAGCTCTTGAGGAACTCTGAGACACTGGAGTGTAACAAACGGGTGACTGCCGAGAAAGCCCTTCCCCTTCGCTGTCGGCATCCAGGGCGTCCAGGCTAGAACTTAAACACAGACAGGTAAATTAGCAAGCAGGCAGACAGACAGAGCGAGCTGCTGGTTTCTCTTTCTCTGAATCCAGATTCTCATTGGTGTGAGGTGCAAAGGGTACTCATTTAATTTCTACCAAAATTTATAGTTAAGTGGTTTTAATTCTCCCCCAAATCTTGTTTTAAACAAGATTTTATGTTTCCCCAAATGAACATTTCTACCTAGCAAAAGCCATCTCCAGTACTCGAAGCAACAAGAGCTGTTTCAATTTTGTACAATCCTATTTCTGTTTTGCAGATGTAATTATTACAGCCCCAAACTCTTCAAATATTAAAAAGTGTAGGTGACACAGAGCCACTGGATTGTGTAGGGGCCCCTGGGGAAATCTGCATGTAAATAAACAGCGTGGCATTCTTTCTCCTGGTTGTCCCTGGACTGGAAAGCTCAGGATGGCAGAGGCACACGCCCGGAGAGGCAGCGCTGGTCTCATCCCAGAGCTGGTGTTAGGACACAAGTCAGACATGAGTCAAGTACCTAAGTGTCATAGTAGATGACCAATTTGAGAGACTCTAAAAATGATTCCCATGAGAAATCTACCTCAGAAGCACATAATGATTCTGCTTAACTACTGCTTTTCTTTCTTCATTGAACTTTCATACTCATAAAATTAAAAGGAAAGATGTGGCTCTTCCACATTCCTGACTCATTACATAACATGTACATTTTAAACCACTCAAACTTTGAGGGCAATGCTTCCCAGGCATGTTAATGCACAATGCTTTTGTAAATGTATTTTTCTTTGCTTGTTACTGTTCTAGAATTAAAATTTTAACAGTAACACAATGACATCATCTTGATTATGAAATATAAAGAACCAGAAAATAAAACTTTGAATTGACCCATTTGGGTTATTTTTCTTAAAAACAAAGGCTATTTAATGACCACTAAATATCAATTTAATAAATTATGACAGTTGGTACGCAGGTCATACTATACATGTCTCTAATCCAAACACTTGAGTCTCTAATCCTTGATCTATTTCATACCCTCCTGGGCACCAGTAAACCCAGGAGTAAGGAAAGGTCATGAGTGACATCACCAAGAAAGTCTGCAATGAGGTTTTCTCCTTTAAGAACTCACTGAGGGCTTTTATCTTGGTACTGAACAGGAGAGGACAAAGTGGCAGTGGACTTCACACTTGAATTTAATACCCAAAAGTTGGAGTCCATAAAATTATTTCTCAAAGAAACTAAATCTCAGCATTAAGAAAACCTTTCTGGTAAATGTTGGTGCTTTGAATGTTAAAGTAATGTAATTACAGATATTTTAAGGTGCTATGTACTTTCCTTAATTCAGTGATAATCTGAGGGTAGAGAGAGATCTTGAGGGTGGGGGTTCAAGGCTTGCTCATGCCTTGTGCCTCTGCATTTGTCCTGAAATTTGTGATCTCTGTACTAAGTGAAAACTAGTTCAGTTGGCTGCCTGCAATAACACCCTATTTTAACACAAGCCTTTCTAGCTATGTATAACATTTATCCATCACTATGAACACACCCTGGAAGTATCAGTGAGTATTTTTTTATTTTGCACACTATACTATCAAATATTTCTTTTTCTATTAATTCAAATTGGGCTGCTATTTTTCTTAAGCTACTAACTTAAGATATTTAGTATCATAGACAGTATTCTTCAGGATCACCTCTAGGTTCTCATGGTTTACAATACCACTTTCCAAAATGCTATTAGTGGGATATGAAATCAATTCAGCAGATAGTGAGCAGAATTTTCTTACAAAGTAGAATAGAAAATATCACAATACCTTCCACATGTTACTTCATAAAATGTTTAAGTTTTGTATGTGTGGGTTGAGAGCTCAAGGTGTCATTAACATTTCTTACTGTGGATGGTGGTAAAACAAACAAGGGTTTTAAGAATGTAAGTTTTAGGATGAAACAAACACTTGCCTTCTATCACCTAATTTTTTCTTGACTAGTTTTCTTAAATAAATGTAGCATTGCTTAATTTCTTCCTGTACTTCCCAAAACAACTAAGTTTAAATAACATATGGTTACAAGTTTTACATACATTACTTTCACCAAAACATTGTTTTTAATCTTAGAAAATTTAGGACTTAGGTCCAAGTCAGCCTTGCCCCTGTGTTAACTTTGGTTTTTGCTGTGTGTCCCAAAATTTCTCCTTCATTACAAGCTCCCAGATTCTCAGCCTATTATCCACTTAATAGTGAATCAAGTACATTTCACTTTGAGGTCATTATTAATTATGTTACACACTCCCAGCTTGACATCCACTGAAAGGAGGGTCCCACAGACATCCTGGGGCCAAAATGGGGCTTCCTGGCAATCACAAGTCCTTTGTCCTCTCCTAAGGGGATGAGCAACATTGTCGTTAATAGATTCCCCCCATTCTCAAGTCCCCACTAAATACCCCATCTCTATGTTTTTCAGTGGAGACAGAATACACAGGAGATGAAGGTGGTTTGTGCGACCAGCTAGAAGGTTTTTCTCTTACGTCACCATCTTCCTCTCTTCATTTCCTACCTCCCCCTCCCCAATAACATTTTTACAAAAGCTTCTAATTACCTTTCCCCAAACTGAATAGTTTTCCTTATATTTTAAAGAGGCAAAATTCTATCTGCAGTAGTGAGACATTTAAACTTCCCCAATCAAGACTATGATCAGTAAAGAACTTAAAGATTCTACAAGAATGTGTTCATCACAGACAGTTTTAATCTATTTTTGCAAAACTGTATAGAATCTTGCCTGCCTTGACCTCTTGTCCCAAGCAGGTATATGGAGAGCCCAAAACATCCCCTCAATAAAATTTGGAGCATGACCACCCGGCATCTTTAAAACCATAGTTCACAAAATGTTGATCTAAAAGAGACTTTTATTTATATATCAAACATTGCCCTTGGTAATCAGACTTACCCAATACCTATTAACCTCAAGTTACTTATCAGTGCAAAGTATAGCACAGTGATTGGCACTGAGTGACCACTGCTTCCCCTCCCTTTTGCTCTATGCTGTTTAAATCTCTGAATATTTACTCATCCACATGAATAATCATAAATGAATTTAGATACATATTCACATATGTGTGCATATTCTGTTATGATGATTCATGATTTTGTGTGTAAAACTGAACATATAGTCAGAGATCTAAGGCATGGGGAAAAAAAATAAGCAATTCTGTAAGGCAAGTGGACAGTAGGACAAAATGTAATCAGCAGAAATTGGCTTATTCCCTAAAGAAAATAGACAACAGGGGGATGTATAGATCCAATACACAGATACAGACACTTAAATACATACAACCATATCACATACAAAAAAAAGTACTGTATATACAAGAAAATATGTGTAGAGTAACTAAGTTTCAGAGCATAAAAGTAAAATGAACACCCATGAGCTCACCCAATTTGAAACCTGACCACTGACCATACCACTGAAGCCCTTTTATATTCCTTTCCATTCCCAATTCCCTGCTTTCATCATTGGATGTAGAGACTACCTTGAATTTGGGGATTTTTTTTCTTCTTCATTTGTTTTTGCTTTATAGCTTAAGCACAGATACACATGTCCTAAAGTAGCAAATAGTTTGATTTAGCATTTTATAAAAATGAAATCTAACTGAAATATTTTGTGGCTTCCTTTTCTCATTCAACTTCATGATTCTGAGATGCTTGTTGTTATGCATGTAAATGTAGCTGTTAATTCATTTTCACTACTGTACAGTATTCCACTGTGTAACTACAGCATTATTTATCTATCCATTTCCCATTTGGATTATTTTCTACTGCTATAGTCATACAGTCATGTACATGTACACAGAAGTAAAACTGCTGGGTCACAAAATATGTGCATGTCCAACTTAACAAGATAACGCCAAATTTATTTTCCAGTTATTGTACAATTTTCACTGTCAACTGTATATAGGACTTTCCATCATATGTATTTCCACCAAAATATAGTATTGTTAAACTTAAAACTTTTGCCTATTTAGTAAGTATAAAATAGTATCTCATTGTGGTTTTCCTCTATTACAGGTGGTCAGTTTTAAGTATCTTCAAAGTCAAGGAATACAGGAACCTAAAAAGGAGCAATATAAAATTTTCCAAATCCAGCTACAAGGTTCTTTGATATTTTACACTTTTTCTCTAGAATATACTACCTTACCTTCTTTTCTTTAGCTGATTTTGTTCCTTTTCAAATCCATGAACACCAAAAGGAAGATTCAAATTGGAGGCAAAGGTCTGCGGGGCTTCAGGGTTTGATGTCACTTCCTTGTTCTCACTTACTTTGCCAGGGCTGGTTTCAGTAGGAAGGATGTGCTTGCAGCTCTGAGAACCCAGAGTAGAACCCATGGATTCAGGACAGGTGTTTGTAGTGATTCCCTCTATATTAATATGGTTGACATCCAAATCACCAACCTGGCAGTTGAAAGAAAAATATTTGCTGAGCAAAAGAAGAAAAGATTGACTTGGCTAAGAATAAAGGTTTCCCAACATAAGAACTTCCCATCTTATTATCTTTTTTGTTATGTTTGTTCTTGTTTTATGTAAACAGAGAATTCTTTCATGTTACGTTTTTGTTCACTTGGCTGCTATCCTATAATTCACAAAAGGAAGACAACCGAGTTTGTCTCTTTTATATATATATATATATATATGTATATAAAGTTGTTCTTAATTACAAAACCAGAAAGTAACTATGCTTTTAATATTTTATGAACTGCTGACTCAAAATGAGGGGAATGTTTGAAATACTTAAGATGAAAAAGTAAAGAGTAGGCAGCTTTATTTAAAAAGTAGCTTGTAGGGATCTTTGTAACCAAGGTCATGGTGGTCAAATAAATGTGAGACTACCAAACAAAAATAAGAATAGAGCTATGTAAGATGCATGGACTTGGAAAGACTAGGAGACAGAAAATACCCCAAACTTCAAATTACTTATACATAATAAACATCAAATCTCAACAAGTAACCTGATATACTCCTGCCATAAGCCTCTGCAGAGAATAAGGGCAGTCTGCAAAAATCTGCATAGCAGAAAGAACAGGGAGCTGGTGGAGGGCCTAAGACTGACCTAAAATTATCACCAGAAGGAGTAAGTCCAGCCCACATATATAAAAAAGAATCCTGGTTGATCAGAGGCCTTGCTCTAGGGAAGGGACTTAAAGCACTGGTGATCTGAGTCATCAAGGGGCATCACTTCTGGGAAAAAGACAGTTAAAAAAAAAAAGAGAGAGAGAGAGACCATTTAGAGAGAGGGTAGTGAAGGGGGAAAGCAGAAGGGGAAAATGTAGGGTCCTAAATCAGCAACCATCATAATAACTTACTACAGCAATAACAGTCCAGGAATGCTCAGACTACTGGGTGAGAGTCAAATGGAAATGTTACTGAAAACAAACTCGGTAGATCAAAGAGAACCTCACCAGTAATGGGGCAAATTATTGTCATATGCCTCCTGATACAAGGCACTGAGAAGAGCACAGCATCACGTCTGTGACATTCCTGTCAGCCACACACAACGTGAATCTAATCAGAGGAAACAAACAAACTGAAATGGAAGGGCATTCTGTAAGAAACAAGCAAAAACCTGGTCTGTATTCTTCAAAATTACCAATGCCATTAAAGACAAAGACTGAGGACCTGTGCCAGATTAAAGGAGACTAGAGAGACATGACCACTAACTGCAGGACATGTAATTGAATTTTCTTTTACTACAAAGAGCATTACTGGGACAATTGGCTAAAACTGAATAAGGCCTGTAGACAGGTAATAGTACTGTATCAATGATTTCCTTATTTGGATAATAGTATGTGCCATGCTTTCAGGAAAATCCTCCACGAAAGACTAAGGGGTAAAGGGACACCATACTCCTGATTTGCTCTGAAATGGCTGATATTTATATACATATTTTAAGCATTTGTATACACTCACACACTCAGAGAATAAAATAAAATGTGGTAAAATATTAACATTTGGGAATTTTGATGGAGTACATAGGGATTCTTTGTACTGAGTTACATAAGTGTAAACTGATGTCCAAATAAATTGTTTTTCCAAAGTAGTTGATGTGACAGAGTCATTTTCAAAGCAGTTTTTATCATGTGAATTTCCTCTTCAGATAGGTTGATAACCTTCAGACTTGATGGCAAATGGCATTACAATCAAGCAAGCAATTTTTTTAGGTAGGTTGAGGGCAATTAGATAAAATCCTTTCCAGATAGTGCTAGAAATTATTTTAAATACGCAGAATGTAGACTCCTTCTGTTGTCCTTGATGTTCAAATAGACACAGGAGCAGTAAAAGAAACAATATAACTGTACTACACCGAGATAGTGAACTTAGCTATCTCTACCCAGATGTTTAGTTTAATTTCTCTCATTGCACAAATTCAGCAACCTCTGCTACATGGCAGTTTATTGATTAGATTGTTTGAGTTCTCTTTAAATATATACTTCACATTACTAAAGCAATACTTTAATATTTCCAAATAGAAATTATATCCTAACATCTCTTTGACTTGTAAGTTTTGTATTTTTAATGTATCTTAAAACATATAAATACATAGTTTCCTAATTCTAGCTATTTGAGGTAAATGGAAATACTGCAGTGTTCACTGAGGCTCAAACAAGAAGAAACAAGGACTCAAGAAATATTTCATTTAAATGCTGAGAAACATTTATGGCAACAGAATAAAGGCATTAAAAATCAGACTGTGGCTAGAACATCCCCAATCGAATCATCCTGTATGTTCAAAAAATGTCCCCAGAACGTCCTGTTTTCCTCAACTCTGTGACTTGTCTTAGATTTCTATAACTAAGACTGACATTCAGCTGCTTTATGCCCCAAAAAAAAAATACTAGATTGTCCATTCTGATTTATTGGTCCCTATCATTTTGAATATCATTCCAATCTATGCCATTTACACTATGCATTTGATGTAACAATGTTTTATAACACAAAAGGAAAAAGCAGAGATATTCAATTCATAGGCTAAAATTGAGATCTACTACACAGAAAAATTGTCATCACAGAAAATATAAGCAATAGGGTATAATATATACATACTAACAACAAAAAGGGTAAAATACCTTATTGCTCAATAAGCATACATATTCTGCATCTTATATAGAAATTTTTAAAGTCAGTGGATAAGGCACAAATTGTGTATTGACAATATTACCCTTAAAAATCCCCTAAATCTGCCACAAATTAGGGTGTGCAGAAATCCTCAGATCTATACCTATGTTTCAATTTTTATAAATATTAAAATCTGAGGACTACTGAGCTACAGAAAAGAACAAAGGATAAATCCATACACAGATGTATATTCAAACCATCACAAATCACTATCATTATCAGAGAACAGGTGGGGAATTCTAAAGGGTTCCAACTTCCCTGTAACCTGACATAATTCTGTGTTAATATTAAAGCTCTCTAAGCTTGGCACACATTAATAGGTGTGTTGTAAGGATTAACCAAGTAATTTATGTGACAATATCATGAGATTGGCACCAAGCTCTTGCTCATAACAACTTGCTGAATTTTAATACAAGTATTGTTTAATCAGGTCACATATATACTTTTATTAAAAAGCTGTAGAGGAGATGGCCTCCCAACTGTCCCTTCCTATTTTAGCCCCGTGGAAGAGCTCTCACACTTCTCATCTGGCAGTGTCTCAAGACCCCTCCTCCATCATTTGGTGGGGTAAGGTGTGCTGTGTTATGAAAGGACCTACATTAAATACTCATCTAATGAGACTCCATTGCTAGCATCGCTGGGGCTGCTATTAGGCTAAAGCTGTCAGAAGAGCACAGTAATACTGTATAGATTTTTCACATGCTCAGATTTTGGAAAGAGGGCAGATTCCCCTTGTAACATCAGTCACTCCTTACCTGATCTATCACCATACAATTAGCATAGACTTCATCACCGCCATTCAGCATGTCAGAAAGCCGGCCTGCAGCAAGGAATGCTGGTGGGTGCTTGGATTTTTTGAAGACATCAAAGGAGTGATCTAGGGAAAACGAAAACAGGACGACTAAAGTGGAATGAGTTTATTTTACACAGTCAGGCATTACCTTCTTAAGGAAACCATGAGGAAAAAATTGAAGATTGCATTTTTTTAAGATGGCATTTTGCCTTTTTCACATAGTAAGATCTAAACGCAAGTATTTTCTCTTATAACATGCAAACCTTCTTAGTTATCTAAAAACTTCATAGAGAATAGTTCCAGATAAATGTGCCCATTTCAAGTGCTATTTTTTCTAATCATGAGAGATTTCTGTAAAAATCAATTTGATTCATGCTTTCAGTTTCTAACAGATTAAACTGACATTCATTTCACTATCCATTATCAATAACTTGGAAGCATTAGGGACTGTACCGCAATCTTGGATTCCACTGAAGTATTCAGGCTCCAGACTCATTGCTAAAGAACCCAAGAGAGTGCCCAGTCTAGCAGCTCTGGCTCTGTACTGCCTGCTGAAAATGCATACTCTCATGCAGAGAGCACTTTGCTTCTATTTTTACTACAGAAGTGTTTTTGCTTGTTTACATGTTCTCAGCTTTGTTCCAAATAGACGAGGTTGCTCAAAGTTGAGTCCAGAGAGTTGAAATATTACTGTACTTGCACAGGGAACATAAAGTTGAAGGCAATAAAACATAGTCGAGCCAGAATGCTTCACTTCCTAGGACTCTGGTTAAATTACTTCATCTCAGATACCTTTACAGCTTCCTCATCTGCAAAGAGGATTAGTATTATTGTACTTAGGTGGTGCTGAGGATTAAATCAGTTCAGACACATAAAGCACCTAACTCATGCCATCACTAAGGGCTCATGCCAGTACTAAGGGCTCAATAAATACTGTCACTATTATATCGTTATTATAGCTATTCTAACCATGTTCAATGTGAGGTATATTAATCATAATGTGTTAATTCTAATACTATCTGTAAATGACTTTAATAGGGTAGATTCAAAGTTATATCCATAGCACATGTCATCTTCACTGACATTCTAGTGAGTTTTCTCAAGTGGGTACAAAAGGGGTGGCCTCTATTCCATCAGAAATGGTGCTTAACATCTACCTGTCTTATCTATATCATAGCATAAACCCAGGTAAGACAATGGGAGTGAATCAGGACATGCAAAAGATCAGTAACTATTGGGATGATGTACTAGGAATAAAAAACTCTATTCTTTCATAGAAAGTCCTAGATGATATTATAGAAGTTACAAAGATATATGAGTTGTTGGAGTCAAATGGCCCAGACTTCAGATTCTGCATCTAAATCTACCTCTTCTCCACAGAACATGAAAGTGAGCTTTTATTAAGCTTCTCAAGTAAGCATACAATGTAAATGGAAAACATTATCTTCTTTTATCAATGTCTTCTTTTAGCAATTTATTTAAACAGCTAGGAATATAACATACAAGCCCACAAATACTTTACAATTATAATCCTTTATGATCAATTACTATGCATTTTCACTGTAATTACACAAAATAAAGCAAGTTCCAAAGGTTATAAATCAAGAACCTGACAAAACGCTTTCAATGTGTTCTGAAAAAAATATTTCTCATTTGTCATTTTACAGAATGTTTGAAAAGTAGTCATAAATAACTTAATGTGGTCTTCTGAAGTGTAATTAATCCAGCTTAACTGCTCTATAATGTCATAAATTCACAGACTGTAAAATACCTGAAATCTCTGCCATCACAATTGGGAGGCTGGTTGTGCCCTTTTTAGCCACTTCTGTCACTGCTAAATTAGGACTTCATTGATAACTAGACTAAGAACCAACAAGTTATTCAAAAAAAAAATTGCAAATAATTGATGGATTTTATTTTTAAAAACATAGAACCCAAAGAAATATTAACCCAAATTGCCTGGTGCCAGTGAATGCATTAACCAGTCACCCAACAGCTGTGTTCTGAACTACCAAGAGACTTCTAGCTCTGTGTTCAAAACTCTTACCCTCACTTCAAGGATGAGCAGGATCAGGAACTATTTCTGTTTTCCCAGGCATGGAAAAAGTCACTTGAATTCCGTTTTTCTTCCACAAGCAAATCTACCTGGCCCTATGCGGCAGGTCAGAGTCCACACGGAGATCATACCCAAGCAGGAAGATAAACCCAATGAACGAGTTACTTCAACCAAGTTGGGGTCTAATTTGTTTTTCGCATTATTAATTTTATTATTGTTTTAGAAAATGATGCAATTTATTTACAAAGACAAGCCTACAATCTTTTATCTGCAATACTGAAATCTAGAAAGCTCTGAAATCAAAACTTTTCATAAGTTTGGTTCAAAAACCTGCTTGATTCAAAATCTGACCTGAACCCACATGGGGCCATGTATAGTTTTTATTTACCCTACTTGACGTGAATTTTCATGCATTTTGATGCAGAAATATTACTGTGCCTGATGATGGTATTGCCCATGTCTATGAAAATCATATATAATGTAAGTAGCATGCAAAAAAATCTGTAAATTCTGAATTCCAAAAAAATCTGGTCCCAAGTTTCAAAGAAGAGACTAGATCTCTGTAAAATCATAGCAGATATTAGATCAATATTTCCCAATATTTTGTCCTTCCTCCCCAAATTCAGAGTTTTGCCATATCTACATACCACCTATATAATTATATTATCTAGTACTTGGTTTTTAGATTGACTAACTCTTCTTTAAATAAAACCGCTTTTCAAAAAAATACCTTATCCTTACAATGGGAAGCCAGTATTCCCTGTCAAAAGTAGAAGGGGATTAAGCAGATTAAAACAACAGAAACAAAACAATGAAACTACATTCTGCCTAAATACAGTTGCCTATCAAAGCCGAGAGTCTACAAGGCCTGCTCTCTGTCATAAAGGGAGATTCCAAAGGATTTGAGAGATGTTAGAGATGCAATGGTACCAAAATGACTTTCTCCTTGAATCAGCAAAAAAATCAAAAGAAATTCCCACCTTACTGAGTGATTCAATTTCATCTAGTGTTAGGTTGGACACCATCTCAAAGCCTGACAGTCCCCAGAAGAATTTATCCTACACTTTGGAAAACTTGCTCAGACTATGTCATCATCCTGTACCTTAGGTAGTGACTCCCCTGAGACAACTAGTCTTATCTGGGGGCGGGGGCGGGCAGGGCATGACTATACAAAAGCATAACAGAGCAATGAGAAGGAAAAATATGTGTCTCCTCTCTAGATCTGTCATACATAAACTGCCGTGTAGATTTTCTGAGTCACTCACTACAACCATTTACAAAACTGGCCCCCAAACTTCTTTTTAGTGTAACTCTTTCAAGCATCCACGGCCCCCACTTACCAAAGGATACTGAGAGATAATAGGATCTAGAAGTGAACATGAACAAACCAAAGGATGACACAGATTTACAAGACCTCCACTCCTTTCTTCGACACTAGTCACTGCAATCATGGGTTTCCAACCAGAGGAATAAGATTTATTGTGAAAAGAAAATAAATCTACAAAAGTACTTTCCAATAAACATCAGCTACATATATTAAAGTAGCTTATTGCTCTACTATGTTTCAGCCCACTCAAATGAAAAGCTACAATGGTTTCATTTTTTTTTAACTGATCTTTTCAAGATTTTCAAGACATACGATTTCATTACTTCCATATGTAACCACTGTAGTAGCAACTCAAGTGAAAAATTATTGCCAAAAAATGTCCTTTCTCTATGAGCATATAGAAATAATATGCAATAAGGAAATCGGCTCTTCATCTTAATTTAATGCTTTGTCATAAGCAGTTTTTCTTAGCAAAAAATTAACCTTACAGTTACAAAACTGTAAGCATTACAGTATAATACTGATAGCATTAACTTTTAATACTTGGTAAACTCATACATCAGAGACAGTATAAAAGTAACCAAAATTAAACCCCCACCCAAAATGGCTGCAACTTTTTAATTTGTAAGGAGCAGGGCAATACTTATGCAATGCAATGCAGTAGTTAGAGCAACAGCCCTGCACTGCTTGGATTCAAAGCCCTACCTTATCATCTATGAGTTGTGTGGCCCTGGGCAAGTTGCTTAACCTGCCTGTATCTCCATTTGCTGATCTGTAAAATAGGGATGATTATCTAACTACTTCATAGGATTGTTGTAAAGATTAAATGATTTAATATTTTCAGTGATTAGAAGATAATCTAACACAAAGTAAGCACTAGGTAAATGCTTGCTATTATTGTATAAGTAAAAGAAGTTGTATGGTCTTGATATTTTTATATAATTTTACTTCTTTAAAAAGATGATTTCAACCTTGGTTATAAATCCACATGTTTAAAACCAATCCAAGGCATCTGGAATGCACCAAACATTCCATTTGCTACACAAAGAGCTTTTTGAAATAAAACTTTTTAATTTCAGACTTAGCTCATGTTGAGAAATTTTGAAAAGTCCATCCTGAACATTTGAAAAACAAAGTCAAACTGCCCTTAAGATTTACCTCCAGTGACTTAAGGATGAGATCTCATGCAATGGGAGATTATAACAGCAGAATGAACAAAGAATCAAGTCAGACAATGAGAGACAGCGTTTCTCAAGAACAAAGGGAGGATTTCAGAAACACCGATGTTCTAACATGATGAAGTGGACTTGGGCCAGGTTCTCACTGCAGAGTGCCTGGGGGATAAACAGTAACTCTGAGGGGATCCCCAGCTCACCCCTCTCCCATTATTCTCACTGCTTTGTAATGTGATCTCTGGAACTCTGCAAGGACCCCCTGAAGCAGACATTTTCATCAGCATTTCATTGCTACGGTAGATGCTCTGGTTTGGTGACATGGCAGATACAACAGGAAGTAAACGTATTCCACCCAGAGAAAGGAGGCAAATGGATACCAGTAAGGACGAGAGGGCAAGGCGGCTGCAGGGGCCTCCCATTTCTCTGACATGAACAACTACCCCCAAATAGAGCAGGAAACCATTAATACCTCAGACCAACATAGGGCCTCTGCAACCTGATCTCTAATGAAACCCAACTCCCCCTC